AAAAGAGTTTTGTCACTGGAAGTAAAATTTAAATCTGTGTGTAGAAGAGAATGAAAATGTTTCTTGATATGGTGGACTAAAATAAAAATTCTTTATTCTATAGCTGCTGCTGTTAACAAAGACAAACTTTCTATTGCTATAGAATGCATCACATACTCTTGTGGAGAGAGCTGCTATGTAATGCAATCTTAAAGCTGCAGCAGTTGCCTGGTTATTGTTAGTATTGGAGAAGCCAGGCCAAGCCTAGCATTTACAAGGTTTTGGAATACCATGTCTTAAAAAAGACAAGGTTCCTCGGGTGAATTTGATATCTTTTATTAGACCAACCCAAATGGTTGGAGAATAGTTATTAAGCAAGCTTTCGGGTTCAAAAACCCTTCGTCAGGCTCAGGAAGCTGCAGCAGTTGGTGTGTGCTCTTCCTGGATGGAATGAAAAGTAAACAAGCCAGGGGCAGGGCTGGGCTGGGGAGTCAGTTGCCAGGCAGATTATAATGTATCAAAAATCCAATGTCTATGTTTAGTCCCTGATCTCTAGTATCCAGCAGGTTGATGAAATGGAGCTCATAGGCTCGTCTCTGGGATGTGTTGTGTAAATTTCCCTTGAGGATCAGGACTGAGAGATTGGAGAGAGAGTGGCCCTCCTGTGAGAAATGTGCCCCCACCAGTAATTGAGTGTTTCTGTCTTTGATGGATTTCCGGTGTGCGTTCATTCTGGTGCGCAGTTGTTGTCTGGTCTCTCCTACATATCTTCCATCAGGGCATTTGGTGCATTGGATGAGGTATACTACATTCCTGGAGGTGCAGCTGTAAGATCCTGGGATGCTGATGGCTCTGTTGTGGGGTGTAGTAATAGTGGGGGTGGTGGAGATGTGGGGGCAGGTTTTGCTTGCTTGCTTAATAACTATTCTCCAACCATTTGGGTTGGTCTAATAAAAGATATCAAATTCACCCAAGGAACCTTGTCTGCCTGTATCCTTAGACCAACACTGCTACAACCTAAACCCCTGCATGTCTTAAAAAACATTTTCACCGTTTCTTTTCTGCCAGACTTTTACTTAATTCGCAATTATAATACAATAGCAAGGGTGAATTTCCCTCACTGATTCAACTTGTTTGCAAGCTATATTTGTGAAATATGCTGCGAATCTATCAGCATGTACTTCTGACCCCAGATTCAACCATGTTTTCTTCTATTATATTCCTTGATCCATTTAAGTCCCTAAACTACATTTTGGTTTGTAACCTTAAGTGAAAATGTTGTCCTTGAATCCCATTTAACTTCCCATCTATTACAGTGCATCTCCATGTCCTGGAGTCTGCTCTTCCTCTGCTTGGCAGTTTTTCTTTCTTCAACTTTTTAATATTAAAATGTGTCTTTTGCTTTACCTGTTTCCAGAATTTTCTTGGGCAAGTTAATTTCGTCATCAAAATACAAGCAAGTAATTGTAATTAAATGTTACATTCCCACTTTCTTTTTTGGATTCCCTGGCTCTGACTTTTCAGTTTCTTTGTTTCACGTAATTTCTTACTCTTTACTTTTCCCATGTTAGTAGTCCTCAGGTTTTTATTCCTTATTGTCATCTCAACCTCTTTTCATTCTTTTTAACTACTGCCTTTAGAGAAATGTCAGAATAATTTCTAATCCTTTCTTGCATCTTCACTTTGCTGTCTTGACTTAACTCCTTTATTCTCCTGTTTTCCCTGTTCCTTCTGATTTTTTCTGCTGGTTTCCTTGCATATCTGTTGTTATGGCTTGTCGCTTTCTTTTCTTTTTGGTGTCTGAAATTAACTCCTCTTTTTCCTTTTTGTTCTTGCTGATAAATATGTTGGCTGCTGCTTCATTTTTAGCTACCTTGATTATTGAAAGCGTTTTTGTTTTTCTTTCAGTCTATAGGAAGGACTTGATCAAGTTATAGTCCCTCCCTTCTTTTCCCACTGTGTTGAACTACACTTAAATCTGTTAGTTTCTGTTGCTGCATCAAAATCTGGCCTTTGCTTCATCTTAAAGAGCATTTAGAAGCACCTTTTTTGAGCATGTAGCTACATACCTTACAAGTGTGCTCTGCAGTGCCACTTGGTTTGCTGTCCATGTTCAATCTAAGCAGCTCTGTAGGGCCATCTAGTGACAGCAGTGCATATATGGAATCTTTAGAACGTTGAGTATGGATTATTTTAAAACAAAATGTTAGTATGATTTGAATAAATCTGCTCCTTTAATTTGTTAGCCTTTGATCTCATTAGTAGCATATCGTGTTGACAATATCAATGTTCATAAATTCTGCTTTTTAAGTACTAAAAAAGCACTCTATAAGGAAGACTTGTAGTGTTTCCCTGAAACCTCAATTGCTCAGCCATGCCTCTTTTCTTCAAGGATTCAAGTTTATCAGTATAACAGAATTTACTGTTTAGCAAATGATGTGAGGAAGGAATTGAGCATTTAGGACATAGCATGTCTGAGACTTTTTAACCACTTACTCTTGTACAAGTGGGACCAAGAGATTTTGGAACAAGCTAACAAAACTGGTATGCATGCAGTTTTCTAAAGAAGAGGACTTTTTTTTCCTCTAGGTTAATTTGTATGGCTATGGGTGGGAGCTGGTGATGAAGTTAAAAATAGACGCATGAAATTTGGTAGAGGGCTGCCTTGTCCTGAGTGTGTCCTTTGCCATTTTACTTAAACTTCCCCAAGAATCTGTTTGTCCAGGCTCAGATGCTAGTTAATTTGGCAATAAAATGGCTTTGAATACGGCATTTGTTTTGTGTGTGGTTCTCCCATTTGTAATTACTTGGTTTGGATGCAACAATACATGACATTTTTTTTAAAGCAATAAAGCTTAGGTCCATCGCTGCATACAGGGTCTGACTACGGTTTCTCCCATTAATCTTCTTTAAGCTGAAGTCCCTTTGTTTCCAGGTTGCCAAACTGAGACCAGAGAAGGTTTGTCTTCATTTAGCAGTGTTGGTGCACAGATCATAAGAACATAAGTAGTGCCATACTGGGTCAGACCAGTGGTCCATCTAGCCCAGTATCCTGTCTCTGACAGTGGTACAAGTGGATGCTTTAGAGGGAAAGCATTGTGTAGACCGTAGTAGGCTTTAAGCTGTTTTAATGATAGGTTAGTATAGAGTTACTTGTATCTGCTTCAACTATAGTTTGGGTACGAATCATAGAAAAGTAGAGCTGGAAGGGACTTCAGAAGGTCATCTAGTCCAGCCCCTTCTTAAAGCAGGAATACCCCCAACTATATCATCCCAACTAAAGCTTTGTCCACCTGGATCTCCAATGCTGGAGATTCCACAACCTCTCTGGATAGCCTGTTCCAGTGCTTTTAATACCCTCCTAGTATGAGTTTTTCCTGATATCAAACCTCAACTTCCCTTGTGGCAACTTGAGAGCATTTCTCTTTGTTCTGTCATCTGCCACCACTGAAACAGTCTAGCTGCATCCTCTGTGGAAGCATCCTGCAGGTAGTTGAAGACTGCTATTATTAAATCCCCCCTCAGTCTTTTCTCCTCCCGATTTAAGTAAGCCCAGTTTCCTCACCCTCTCTTGTAAGTTTTATGTGCCCCAGCCCCCTAACCATTTTCATTTCCCTGTGCTGGACTCTCTCCATTTTGTCTACATGCTTTCTGTAGTGGGGGGCCCAAAACAATACAATATTCCAGATGTGACCTCAGCAGTCCTGAATAGAAGGGAAGAATCCCCCCACAAGAGGGGGGAGTCTCTGGACTGCAGCCTGGAGCTCCTCTATGTGGCACCCCAGAGACTCCAAAGTGGAGCAAACCTCGCAAGGGGAGGTGGCCATGCTCCTGGTCCCATGAACCTGGAAACATGGCAGACAGCCCCAGCAGCCAAGAGCCAGAGGCTCCATCTGCGTGGAGCCTGGAACCATGGGTTTTATCTGGGTGGAGGCCTCTGAGGTGCCAGAGGGGGAGGCCGCAGAGTCCAAGGGGACCCTCTGGGTGTGGTGTGTGCCCATCCACATTGTGCCGCTGATAGGCTGGCTACTGATGGGACTGCCAGCCTAGGGGGCTTGCTGGCAGGGCTGCGGGCTCTCCTGCTCACCCTCCTGCATTAACTCCTGTGCTAACTCACGCCCTGGACCCAGAAGTGCACCTGTTTGTGCGTCCCGTTTGCAAGGCTCCGGTCGCATGGCTCCCTGGGGGGCTGGGCGAAGTTGGAGCCGGGGGTGGTGTGACCCTCCTCGGCACCACTCAGCTGCCTTCTTGCTGGCTACGCCCCTCCCACTATGGGCCCCTGCTTACCCGCAGGCAGGCCGGGGCTCATCGGGGGTCCTGGGGTCTCTCGTCGGGGGTCCCTGTGCTCACGGGGGCTTAGTGGGCTTTCATCCACGCGTCTTGTGCTGGAGCTGGGACCTGAGTGTAGCTTCTGCTATTGCTGGGACCTTTTTAAAGTGCACGCATGTGCAGATGGGCCGGCCGGTGCCGTGCTGCTCTCGGGCTAAGGAGGTCCTTCCCCCACACTGAAGGAGGGGACAGGTAAGTGCCCCTCACAACCTGTCTCGTGCTGGAAGCCTGGTTGCGCATCTCTATGGGGGGCTGGGCCAAGTAGGAGCCGGTTGGGAGGGGGGGTATGTGACCCTCCTCAGCTCCACTCAGCTGCCTCATTGCTGGCTATGTCCCTCCCACCACGGGCCCCTGCTTACCTGTGGGCAGGCTGGTGCTCGTTGGGGGTCATGGGGGCACAGTGGGCTTTCACCCACGTATCTCACGCCAGAGCCAGGACCCGAGTGAACATTCTTTGGTTTCCAAATGAACATTCCTTGGTTTCTACAGTATGATAGGAAGAAACTTTTTTGTGGGTTTTAAAAGCAGGAGATTCTGTTGTGACTATAATGAGTTATTAGTTGATTGAACATGAATATCTATCATCATAAAATATATTAACATTAAGGGATGGATGACTATTCTGAATTGGTGCACATATGACAAAATGAGATGAAAGATTATAGTTAAGATATGTGTATTCTTTTTTTCAGCTGGGTTAACAATTTTGGACATGAAGGTCTTGGACTTCTGTTGGATGTACTGGAAAGACTCTTGGACAAGAAACAGTAAGATCCTAATTTATTTAGGTAATGGAAGTAGTTGAGGAAGCTGCTCTTAAGTCTTCAAGTAATGTCTCATTTTTATTTCAAGGCAAGAAACTATCGACAAGAAGAATCAGAATAAACTTATCCAGTGCCTCAAAGCATTTATGAACAACAAAGTAAGGAATATATATATTTTTCATTTTATGAGATAATGGCATATTGTTTATTGCAATAATGAAAAATATGATACTGCATAGCAATATTTCCTCGTATTTTTTTCATTTACTGTCCTCTGTCAAGTGAGACGTGCAGAATGAGAGATACTTAAGTCCTTGGTTAGTTCATTGATCGATAACTGAATAATCGATAATGTAGACTTTCTTGTCTTCAGCATCTAGTTCATCTGTCCTCAGTAAAGTTTAAAAGGGCATTTATTTTTTTTATGAATTCTGGTGGTAAGTGAAAGTAGAAATATAAATTGCTAAGTAGCATGGTATGCTGTGGGTCAAAAGTGAGTCACTTTTTAAAAATAGGTTCCATAGAACTGAAAGAAGCCTTATTTCATCCTATGCTTCCTAGCATGTGCTCTTTAATTGTCATAAGATGCTATGAGACTTTTCTTTCTAGCTTCTAAAAAGAACCATGGAGGAAATTCATAAAAAGTTAAGGCTGCCAATATACTTGCTTGTTTAGAGTATAGAGTAGTGGACAGAGTATGTTGAGTATTAAGGTAATTTGTTACAGTTGGTTATGGAAAGCATTTGGCATTTTTATATAGGTGTTGAAGTCGCTATTAAAATGCAATTCACAGAATTAGTTCATCTTTTGGTTGTAGAATGTTTCTTAGTTTACTCAATTTGAATATTAAAAAAGATAATCAGCATACCAAAAGTACTGGGGTGAAAAATTGGGCTACTTCCAGTGAGCAGGGTTGGCAACTGATAGCCTGTGGGCCAGATCCGGGCTACAAAGAGGTTTGATATGGCCTGGGAAAGTTTGATCTGCTAAGGAGGTTTGATGGCATGGAGCTGCATTGTGCCACCTATCTCTTCCTTTGCTGTGCCTGCTCTTAACCTTGTTCCAGAGGAGGTGGGGGTATGCACAGGCAGGTGGGTGCTCCAGGGATGGAGACTTGCAGCCCATGACAGGCGCTGGGTCTCAGAGGGTTCAGACAGAAGTGCAGCTCCCTGCTGTAAATGATGACGCTTTGCAGGAAAGCATTCTGAGTTGCAACAATCCCCTGGACCAAACAGAAATCCACTGTTGGTTCTGAGGGGAGGGGAATCTAGCTGCTGGCCTGCAGTTGGTTTCCTGTAATAATATCCCCTCTTCCCTGCAAGGCTACAGAGTTTTCAGAATGGGAGGGGAGGAAGGGAGCAGTGAGAGCTTGTTCTAGGAGTTCCCCAGCTGGTGCTGCAGGGTGGAGTGGGTGAAGGGGGGGGGAAGGAGGGATGGAGGAAGCGGGGCTCCAATACACCCACCCTCCAGCAGGGGCTGAAAAGTCACCAGACCAAACTTCTTCTGATCCCTTTTCCCACTCCCATTCTGAAAACAGAGACAGGGTGGGCAGGCAGGGAGACAGAAGTTACAGAAAATGCTCTGTTTTGAAACATCTTCATCTGACGCCTTATGCGATGAGGGTTCCAATTTTCACCCAATTGGCTACTTTTGAAGCTGTCTGCAGCCATTCACTTGTGTTTGGTTACAGCTATAGACCACTTTCTGTGGCCAGATCGGGCGAAAATTGTCACTTCTGTCTGCACCCAAAGGGTGGCTGTGGCAGCAAAGGATTTGTGACTGCTGCTGTAGAGAATTTTTTTTCCAACTATAGCGATGGAAGGAAAATTACAAAACAACAGAAAAATGCATACTGTCTAGAAAGTGGCAGTCCTTTCATCACGTTCATGCTTGGGTTTCCAAAGCTAAGAAATTAAAAAAAAAAAAATTGTGTAATAAATAAATAAATGCATGTCAAGAGTTACCAGCCCCTGTTGATTTCAGAGAAAAGTGGCTGTACTTCACAGGTTAATCTTTGTTTTTCTTTTCTCTATTTTGAACTTTTACAATTGGTCAAGCAGTTCAAGTTAAGGTGTTTATCTGTATAGTTTTAGCTTTGTGTAACTGGAGGAAACGAGCACATTGCAGTTGTTGTTTTCAATTAACAACAGTACATCAATTTTCCTATAATGAGGGGCATGTGTACATAATTAAATTTGTATTAACCACTTTTTAAAACCTAAAGGTATTAATTGAAGGGAATACATCTGAATAATCTTTTTCAATTCAATTGACTTGAAGTGGAAATTAATCAGTTTCTTTTAAAGGGTTGTTTTACTGTTCATGAAGTGTTTTTAAATAACTTGCCTGGTCTATTTTATAGAAGTTGGACATTTGGATAATTTAAGACTTTTAATTGCTCATAACAAACTGCAAAATGTTCCACTAATGATGCTTACTTTTCAGTTATATGCTAAGCGTAGCAATCTTTTACCATTACTTAGCTTTATTGCTGTTACTTAATGCACTATTCTGTATTTTTAGAATATGTAATCCATTTGTGAGGAAAAATGGTGTTAAGTACATGAAGAAAAAATATGTTTTTTAAAATGGCTTCTTAAATAATATAGCTATCATTGCAAAGACGTGATCAGTTTTACTCATGTAGACCCCTTGAGCTTATGTTAAAATGAGTAATTTCTATGCATACATGTTTGCAGGATCTGATGTTAATATAGAGGTATTGCATAGCTATGGCTTCTCTTCAATTATACAGGTCCCCTGGACACTGTCCTTCCTAGAAGAAGGAAAAGAATGCGATTAGAAATCTAACATTTTCTTTATCCATCTCATTTTATAGCTGGTGTTTAATCCCCTTGTTCTTGTTTTTATTTATACCACTTTCTTTTTCCTTCTTTTCTTTTACCTTACCCTTGATTTCTGATTTTTAAACTTTTTTTTCCTGACCCCTTTTTCTTCATAGCGAATTAATGTTGCTTCATCTAGAAGTAGCTGATACTAATATAGGGATATCCAGAGTTAAATGGAAAAGCATCTTAGTTTCGAGTGAAAATAACTTTAGTAAGGAACAGAAACTAAATAAAATTTCAGCATCTGTTTTGTTTATTTACAGGATGGAGGGTAATATATCAATTATAATGAAGTAAAAAAAGATGAAAACAGTACAATATGAAGTCATTCAATGTAACATGAAGTAATATTTTAAACATGTTCACTACTTCAATATTAAAAGAAATGGAAAAAAAAAGAATGAGAGAGAAACAAACCGTAAAAAAAAATAGCTGAGGATAATGCCCATATGCCGTATGTTAAAAGAGAATAGTGAGTGGAATTTTTTTCACGAGACATAGCAACAGAGCATCATGTTTGCCAGGAGTGTCAAAGATCTCGCCTGTGAAAGGACATCATCTGGCCTGTCTTGATGGGCCACCTGTGGGGCTAGTCTGGCCACACTCCATGCCAGATCCAGTGCCTTCAGCACCTGTTCTGGTCAGTCTGGACCTGTGCTGCTTGTGGCCAGTCTAAGGTGGGCACTGTGTGCGTGCAAGTCTGTATTTGGTCAGAGCAGGTACTGTCTGGGGCACAGACCCAGACTGGCAAGCTCTGTGGACACTGCATTCAGCCTGTGATGGTGGGGGGAGGGTCAGATGAGTTGTCATTTCTAGTCATCTGTCTTGTCTGTAACAGTTGAGAAGTGACAAGAATGTATGGCTATTAAAGGTGTGCGAAGTGGGCTGTATTCAATTCGGATTCAGATTTGGCTTGATTCGGGGGGCAGCGATTTGATTCGTTGATTTGGATCACTGTCCCAATTCGATTCAGCCGAATCTGAATCTGAAGATTCGATGCTAATTCGGAGAATCAGTGATTCGGCCATAGACACACCTTTAAATGTTTTTTCTACATTCCTTGAGGTACCAGGTGCGGCTTGTGAATGCTGAGATCGTGGGGCAGATGGAGTGTCCCACAGGAGTGCGGGGGCGGGGGGGGGCATGCTTGGTGGCAGACCCGGAAGTGGACCAGAAGTATTTCTAGTCCACTTCTGGGTCCGCTGCCGATCATGCGGGGACCCCCCCTCCCTGTATCTCCCTGGCTTGGCAATCAGCCGCAGGGGGATGCCGGGTGCCTCCTCAAACCCAGGACGCACCAGTTGCTGAGCCGGGGGGTGGGGGGAGTGCTTCTGGTCCACTTACAGGTCCGCCACAAAGTATGCTGGGGACCCCCCTGTGCTCCCGTGGGACACTCCATATGCCTCACTATCTCAGCATTCACGAGCCGCCTGGTACCTTGAGGTATGTAGAAAAACATTTAAATCTGTGTCTATGTCCGAATCTCTCCGAATTGATTCGGAGGTTTCTGATTCAGTTTGGGGAGGTGAAAGGGTCTCTTGATTCGATTCAGATTCAGAGATTCGGCTGCTGAATTGGACTGAATCTCTGCCGAATTGAATCAGCGACTGAAGCTTTGCACAGCTCTAATGGCTATCCTATCACTTTTATTTACTATTCATTAAAGAGCTATGGTATTATAAACTCTATCCTTTTTTATTTTATTTTTTTTAACGGTATCTATCATACTTAAGTTATGGAGCACTTTTTTTTCTTCAGATTTCGCCTGCTTAATAGTCCTTAGTGGGTGCAATTCTTTAGTAGGGACATGAAACATTAAATGAATCCGAATATACTTAAGTCATTCTCTAGTATTACATTTAATATGCTTTATCTACTGGAATTACAGACAAATCTTAGCAACAAGATATGATTTGTGCTGTACCTGTTAGATGTCTGATTCATTAATATTTGTACTTTTCATTGTCGTTACAAAACTGAATGTTATAAGCAAATTAATGAATGCAGATGAGAGAACACATTTGAAATAGCTGCAAAAACTGAGAGAAGGATTGTCACTAAGTGAAGGGAAATGTATTTTTGTTTCAGTGATAAAATGCCCATTGACATGAACAGTACCAGGTGTTTATTCCAAGGCTATAAACAGATGTTGCATTTGTCTGCTGCATTCGTCACAGGACTAGTTGTGCCATGACTTGTCCCAGAACGGACAAGTTGTGTGATTGGCATATCTATATGTGAAAGTTGACTTTTAAGGAGTGGCTGAATGCACTGCTGCTCTTCTATCAGCAGGTGGCCAGTGAGCATATTTACAAGCATAGAAAAGTGAAGCTGGAACGGACTTCATGAAGTTGTCTTGTTCTAGCCCTTTGCTCAAGGCAGGATCATCCCTGACATCCAACCAAGTGTCTTTCTAACCTTCTTCTGAAAATCTACATCATAGCATGCTTTGTCCTGGTCACCTGCCCATAGTTGCCCCTGACTATTTCAAGTCTGAGCAAAGTGCCCACTGGGTATGCACATTGTGAGTGGCAAAATTTTTGTGGAAGGGATTTTTTGGTGTGATTCACTGCACAGCTAATGCCCCTAAATGTAGGAAAAGAGCTGTCTTCTGTACTGAGACCATTTTTAGCCATTGGTTGCAGATTAGGAAAAAGCTATAGAACTTCATTCAAGTATGTATATGGCTTTTTATTTTACCATTCCTGAAACTGATAACAGTTGTCTTGTATAGAAAGATTATTCTTCAAAACACTTAATTGTTCCATAAGAAGTCTGAAACTTACTATGCTGAAACAATTTTCATATTGAGACAAAAGTACTCTAAAAATAGTTTTTGAGTTGTGTTAGGCACTTAAATTGAGGAAGATATAACTTTTCACTAAGCATTTATTGTTTGTTTCTTTTTAAGTATGGATTGCAAAGGATTCTAGGAGATGATAGAAGCCTTTTGTTACTAGCAAGAGCAATTGATCCAAAGCAGCCAAACATGATGACAGAAACAGTAAAGATACTTTCTGCTATTTGTATTGTTGGAGAAGAAAATGTGTAAGTAATATGTTGAAGAGATGCTAACCCCACATTCTTGAGGTATTTTGGAATGAGAAATGTTTTGCTTGTTAATTAATGACAACTGTTCAGTTTACTTTTGCATGCTGTAGGCTATTTTGTGCACTTCAGATCCTTTTCTGGTGACTTAATAGAACAAACTGGTGGCTATTGATAAGATATTATAAATTATTCACTTACATGTGTATTTTTAGTATAATTTTCCTCTTAGGCTTTTCTTGAGAAGGAATCAGTTACCTATTTAAATGAAGAAAACTGTTTTGTTTGGAATAATTTCTATATTGAACTATCCTTCAAGTTACGCTGTTGACATTTGTCACATTAACACAAAAACAGTCTTCCTTACTATGATATAGACTTTAAATCAGTTTCTTATAACCCACTTTTGATAGTATCCAGAATGAGACCTGTTTGAGCCTAATGTTTGTTGCTTCAAAACTTAAGTTAAATACATATTGAAGATTGCAGCACATTGATTACAAGTGGAAACATATGGATAATCTGAATATACTTCCAGTCCTAAAGTGGCTGTGGATGATAGAGAGAGAGAGAGAGTATTAGGCTTATGGAAAGTATTTCAATTTTGGAGCAGTTGGCAGACAATCTAAGAAAAAATTAAGATGCATGGATATATATGGTTCAAACCACTATGTCTTTGTGTAAGAGCAAATTTTACTTTGGTAATCTGTTAAAGTTCTCTATTTTTAGAAATTGAGAATTTAGATAAGGGTAACAAATTTACATAATTTATTTACTACTTTCCTATTCTATATATAAACTTCCACATCAAATAAGTACCTTCTCAGGGCCTTTGTTTTGTTAACTAAAGATGTGTTATTGAATCATGGAATAACAATATAGCTAATAACCTATCAAGAGTTAATGCTCATGTTCTGTCAAAGATGGCAGTAATATCTAAATGTCAAAGGCTGCAAAAATTAGGTGTTTTTTTTCTTTAATTTGGAGAACGGGGGGGCAGGAAAGGAATAAATTATGAATGCCTAAGAGTTATTCCTTTTGATTGAAATATATATGTTTTGGTTTCCCAGCATTTTAAGTCGTTTAGGCTTCTTGCAGATGCTCAACCTCCCCCCCCCCCCAAAAAACAAACAAACAAACAAACAAACAACACAAAACAAAACAGACTTTATCGGAAGAAATACTGTGTTACCTCAACTCGGTTCTAGCATCTGTATAGTTTGGGCGCTTCAGCAGGGCTTTTTGGCGCTTTTAGATATAGCTCATTCAGCTATTAGATAAAAGTGCCAAACCCCAACCTCCGCTAAAGCACCCGATCTTTACAGATGTCGGATGAGCCAGTCCAGCTAAGTCACGGCCACTTCTGGGCATGTGCAGGGCTTGGTGTGGGAGCATGCAGAGTTTAAAGTAAAGCGCTGTTTTTAAACGTCTGCAAGCAGTCTCTTTTCCTTGTGACTTTTTTTTCTTTTTTGCTTTGGGTTTTGTTTGTTTGTTTGTTTGGTATCTCAAATGGGGGAAAATAGTTTACAATTTATTATGTTGTTGTTTTTGCCAGCAATCAGAAGGAAAATCTTATAAAGTGCTTAAGGATACTTTAAAACTGTGCATGAATTGATCTTTCTCATTTCTCCCTCAACACTCAGTCTTGATAAGCTTTTAGAAGCTATAACTACTGCGGCTGAGAGAAATAATCGAGAACGCTTTTCTCCAATTGTGGAAGGGCTGGAGAACCACGAAGCTTTGCAATTACAGGTGTGTTTACTTTCATTTTGGTTATCATCTGATTGTTGGATCTCTTAAAAGCAACCTGAATTGTTAAACTAAATGAGAAAGCTTGGGTCTGTTGCATATTGTGTTTTGTTAAAATTTTGATTTTGAGAGAATTGTTTAGGTCAGCAGTTTTTTCCTAATTCTTGAATGCTGGATTGAGATTTCAAAGCAAGCATTACTTTTTTAACAACTTGAGAAACCAACAGCTAGCTTAATTGTTTCAATATCCTGTCATTGACACACGCATTATATTTATCAAATGACTGTTTAATGATATTACCAAATGCTATTCATGTACTACAGTTAGTCTTAGTGATGCTAAAGGGAAGTTCCTGTTAAAGGCTTTTATTGCCTCCTTGATCCAGATACCTGCACTTGAGCAAAGGTACAACTACAAGACTCATTAACTTGTTACTGACAAAAATGTTCTTTACTTACATTAACACAAGCCATTAAGCTAGAATTTCTTCTGGCAAAAACAATCATAGCAGATGGCATCTTTTCTCTCTATTAATTTCCGATTGAACATGTACTTTGGCTTGTTCAGTCATGTCATAGTTGTAAGATAACAAGAGTCATTCAAGCAGACACAATGATGATGCAGTTACAGGCATATACAGTATTTGGAACCTCTACCAGCTTGCTGCAGCTGTAGAGAAGACCATACTTTTCAAAGAACTTAATAAATAAAAATGTTAACACAATTAAGATGTTTCAATAAAACTAAATGGTGAATTTAATTAAAAAATGAAGGAGATTTTTAACCTGTTACTTATTTTTTATCAAGCAGATACTGATTTTTATCTTGCTTTCCATCTTACTTTCAGTTAACATCTTTTACCAAATGTGGTTATTTCCCAGGAATCTGTTTTCAGTTTTTTAATGTATATTAGTACTTTTGACACTAGATTGTCTGCTGGTTATAAAACAAAGTCAGTCTCATGACCTTTATCAGAGTATTCGTTTTTTAAAACATGCTGCTGAAAAATAACTTCCTGGGATTTAAGCTGGGGGAGGAGGATACTTAAAGTTCCAATAACCTAAACCACCTGGTGTTGGAAAATATTAACTGTTACTAGATTTCAGTTTGTGTTCTAGGACTTTCCTGAGTATTATAGGGACATCCTTCTTTATTAATTGTGGTATGCGATAACAAAAAAGATTTTAAGGACAGGAAGGCTATGTTGGCATATGTAGGCCAGGTGTATATATTGAGAACTGTATCTTTAAGTTTAATACTTATTGATTACAGGTGGCTTGCATGCAGTTCATAAATGCCCTTGTCACCTCCCCTGAAGATCTTGATTTTAGGATACACTTGAGAAATGAATTTCTTCGTTGTGGATTGAAAAAAATATTGCCTGTAAGTAGTCTTGCTTTATTCACTATCTAAATATAAATACTTATGCACCTTTATATTATAACAATAAAAATAAATCTGTTTAAGGCAGCTCAGTGGAATGGATCAAGAGAGGCATTGCAATGTAAAGTAACTTGTAAGCAAAGTCCTTTTTACTTCCCACTATTTTGGTAATTTTTTGTGTCTCGTTTGGACCTGGTAATATTTTAATAGTTTTATTTTATACTCATGCAGTAAAGCACAATATGTAAAAAAAAAAAAAAAAAAAAAATTGCATGGCAGGGAGTCTTAGTAACTGGTTTGTTTGCTTTTGCACATCGCAATTAAACTATCAGTAATTAATTATTACATAATAATGATGAACCCAACTAACTTCCCTTTTATTGTGTGTGAAAAGGTTTTACATTTTTCAAATGGATTTTGGTATTTTTAGTCCTGGAATCAATATAGGCCTGTTGTCCTTTTTAATTAGCTTACCACAGCTTTTGAAATATTTTTTGTATTTGCTAAGCTGCTTCTGTAAACTTAAAACCAAAAGAGCAAAATAAACAAAATGCAGGTATCAAATTAACAACTTTTTTTTCATCCTGAATATAATCTTATGAATGAAAGACTTAGTGAGGCTGGGGGTTAGAGTGACCTTTTTAATGAAAGGGCACTGTATGCTTTTTTTTTTTTGTACTACTTTCTATTTTACTGGAGCACTGTAAGATGCAGAGAAAAGATGTCTAATACTCTATTTCTTATTGTGTTAAATCATGAATATAAGTTTTAGCACGTTTGCTAGTATGAATACTTTGTTATAATGGCAGTGCAGAACTATTTTGTGGTTGTCAATAAAGAGAACAGAGGATCTAACAGTTCTTCAGCCTAATGGGAATAATTTTAGTTAGAAAGGCAAAACAGTGACAGCCAAATGCTTATGACTTATCTTAATATCTATAGTTCACTTTTGGTAGGTGGTTTTGTAATGATGTTGTAGGGGATCAAACGCCTGCTACCGCTCATCAAAAAGCAATAGCACCTGTAAAATAAGAAATTGGTTGCGTCAGTCCTGATGGTGGAAATTTGTCCAGCAGCATGGGTGATCACTGATCAGTCTGTGATGCTTAAGATTTTTAATGCTTTCACTTTTGGCAGTGCAGATTGTATAATTATCAAGCACACATACTTCTCTGTTTACTCAAAAACTAGTACTAGGATTTAAAGTACTGAAGCTGCTGAGCTGTTTGCCTCAGAGCATGCCTGAGGATAATAATATTTGCTTTACTTTTCGCAAAAGTAACAGAATACAGACCTTATACTCAAAGGGATTAGTTTTTCAGTCACTAGTAATTTTGATTATTTGGTGTAGTCAAGAACTTGGATCTGCAGCCTCCGTTAACACACTTGAATTCAAATGATTTTTTTTCTTTCTTTCTTTTTTTTATTACTATGTCATTGTTACCCTTTTCATTTTAGAGTAGATATTTTGAAGGCTATTCTCTTAAAACTACTAGTATAACCCCCCCCCCCCCCCAACAAACCAAACAAACCCCCCAAAACAAAAAAAAATGCATTCTGTTGTCTTTTTAAAGAACCTCTCTCTTTTAAAGTGAATCAGTGTCTCAGCTTAAAGGAATTCTTGCTTTTTCTGCCTTTGCTATGAAAAGGCTTAAAATTAATTGTTTATATTTTCAGTTATGACAGTTTGCAAATGATATCCAAAACTGCATTAAAGTAACTTTTTGTTTGAAGAAAAACATTAAACTTCAGTGCTAATTTAAAATAGATTACTGGATTCTTTAAAAAAAAAAAAAAAAAAAAAGACAAGCCTAGGTCTTCTGACTTTGGAACAACAAAGAAAAGAGAGAGACCATTGAAGGCATTTGGCTCATTTGTCAATTTCTTTAATGAGCTTTAATTGGTAAATCTAGCTTGTTTGCATTGCTTTCTCATATTTTTAAATCATATAATTGAAATCCAATATATTTGTTTTAAGATGTGAAAATTAAAATGCCCAAGTATCCTTGAAGAAAAATATGTAAACAGTATTTAAAATTGGACTGATTATGTTTACCTTTCTGATTTGATGAGGAAACCTCTTTTTCTGAACATAAACATTCACTTTCCTTTTCCTTCTGTTACTTGATTTAATGTCATCTCAGTTACAGTAAGTAATATACTTGTTTTTCCTTTTTAAAGAAAGATCTCTGTGATAAGGCATCACAATCCAACTTTACATTTTGAGATCAAAGTTTTGGACTCAAAGCTTCTGAAATAGAAGGCAGAAAAGGCAGCTGCTTTTGATATGGTTTTCTGATGTTTGTTCTTGTTTACTGATCTTTTGGTGGATCAAACTTATTTTGGCATAGGAGACTCATTAGACTCTTATGTGAAAAAGTGAAATAGCTTAATGAATGTTACTGTCATAACTAAGTTGTGCATCACTATAGGAATGCTTTTAGGTTAAATCTAGTGATAATGAACTTGCCTTTTTTCTTCTTTTTTTAAATTTTGGTCAAGTTGGATTAAATAGTGTTTGATTGAGTGTTTTTCCATTAGGCTCTTGAAATTTCATTTTTTCTAGTTGGTAGAATTTTACAGGAAAAGGAACACTGAAGAGACTAAACTATACTTTTTTTTACAGTAGTCTTTGAAAGAACTCTTTAGAGTTCCGTGCTTATTTAAGCTTTAATTTTAAAGTGGTATATATCAGCATGAAAACCTTGAGTGCCTTCTAACTTGAAATACCTCTCCCACATGAAAATGCATGCTTGTTTGATTGCTTGGAGCATTGTTTGGCATCAGGAAACTGATCAGTGCAAGAGCAGGAAGATGCCTTAAGAGGGAGATGGCAGTTTACATTTTTTAGCATGTCCAGAATGGCTGACAGGGCAAGGATTAATTGCTTGCTTTCCTTTAGGACCCTTCTACATGTTACAGTTATTGCATAATTAACTGGTTAATTGCAGAATTAACTGAGACCAGCTACACATGCAAAATACCTGTCATGCTATTAAAAGCTCCAGCCAGCTATGAAGTTTGGCCTCAAAATTGTGTGCTCATTTTATAGCTGGTTACTATACAGCTTTAATAAAAGCTTCCATGTAGCACGGAATACATTATACGAAAGCAATTTGCTGGTCCTCTGGCATTCCAGTGTGCGTTGCTCCATTTCCAATATAAACTTCTTTTAAAAAGAACAAGGAGGAAACCCTTGCCGCAGCATAGTTCTGACTCTTAGGTTCATTCCCCCTACCCAGCAGGAGAAAACCCTTGCCCCCCCCTTCCCCCCCACCCATGCATCCACAGAGCAGATGAGCAGGGACACCCCTGCCACGATGGAGCATCCTATGGAGCAGCAAGGCGGGGATGGGGAAGGGGAGGGGATGGAGGGGAAGCTTAGAGAGCCAGGGATACCCTGCCTAGCTACAGTGCATTCAGCTGAGCAGCAGCAAGCACAGTGGGGACCCCCCCCCCCCACACACATACACACACTTCTCTCCAGGCGTGCAGGGAATGACGGACAACCCTGCCCAGCTGGAGCAAAGCCTGGGTCTCCTGAGCACCAGCAAGTGGGAGAGAAAGGTGGGGAAATCCCACCCCCCCACACCATTTCACTGCACAAGTCTAGGGAGCTGTTGACACCGTGCCCAGCCACAGAGCAGCCCCAGTTTCCTGGGTAGCAGCAAGCACAAGAGAGTGGGGCTGGGTAGGATGTCCCCTGCTCCCTGAACTTGTGCAGGGAATGATGGGGGAGGATTTCCTTCCTCCCTCCCCAGCTTGCTGCTGCCTGGATGTAGCCATGCACATGATGCAATGTCTTTATTGCAGCACTGTTTTCCTGGTGCAATAGGAATAACATGTAGAGTCCCTTAAATGAACACCCAGAACCAGTGCCCCTTCTTGCTCTACTTTAATGAAGCTACTGGAACAGGGCAGAGTGGGACACTTCCTGTGCCTGGCCTCCAAACTTGTGCATTGGTACGGAGGCATAAGATTCCTAGGAGAACTCTAATACACCAGAAACAGGTCACAAGTGCATTTTCAAAGTGCATTTTCAATATGCTTCATCTAATTATACAAGCTAGGTAAAAACACTTTTAAGTTTTGTTTTTCTTGTTTTTGTTTTTTTGGTGGCTGTACAAATAACTTTTACACATTTTAGTTCTATAGGAAATATTGCTGTTAACAGTTCACTAATGTTTCAGTTTTTAAATTGAACTGGCCTATTCATATACTTACAAATGTAATAATAAACACACAGATATGTAATGACTCCTGGGAATAATATCTGTGAGCCCTGTTTTTCAAAGAAATGTGATAGTTAAGTGAAAGCTGAAGGGCAGCATGATGTACATTTGATATGTACCAGAAACTAGCATATGGATCAAAACTGTAGTGCTTAATTTGTGCTGCTTAAACCTGATGAATTATATTTTTCTGATAAATCAGCAGCAATTCTTAGGTTTACCTTTTTTTTATTGAATCTTATGATGGTATAGCTGAACAAATAACTGAACAAGTTGCTTTTTGAGTAATAGGTTTTTAGTTCCTCAAATTTTGGCCTATGCTTCTTGTAATTCTGCATTACAAATGGAAATTTTATGCTGAGCAAATGAACTTTCCCAAGGAGTACAAGTGTAATGGAAGTTTTACTGTAGACAGACTTTAGCCTCCTTATTTAATAAAATGAAGTATTTTAGTTGAAAGGTCACAGAACATTTGTTTCGGACTTCGCAATGACGTCTAAATTGTCACTGAAGGACTTTTAGAATTGCTGTGCCCAGTATCTGCCAGACATCCAAAAAGCTGACTGAAAATAAAAAGTTTACTGCTCCCCTCCCCCCACAAATCCTAAGACATTTATTTTCCTATAGTAAACTCCAGGGAATGGTAGATGGCTTTAAAAATTCTCCTAGCTAACCAAGACACATTTGGAAAAAAATATCTTTTTTTTTTTTTTTTTTTTTAAGAGTTTTGGGAAGCTACGGAAAACTTGATGCCATCTTAAAGGACTATAGGTGACTAGCGAATGTGGTAAGAACTGCTCAAGCTCCTTCTTTACTCTGAGGGGTGTGAGCAGTAACAGATAAGAAATTTAAGTGCCAGGTAGTACCAGCGCATCCATTTATTTAGTGCACAGGTGGGAAAAGGTGATGCTGTCGAGTAGCATTTCCTTTTAGACTCAGCACTAGTTGTTGCAGTACCCTATCTTTGTGCAGTTGCACTGGAAGTACTTACTTCAATTGTTATGGTCAAGGGATCATGTTGTGGAGGTAGCTATTTAACGTCTTCTAAGAATTTTTTCATGCAGCTTAATGTCTTTAGCAGAGATGCACTTTTCAGCAGAGATGCATTTGTCTAGCATTTCTCTTTGTCTATAAGTGTATATAAAAATGTGTATTAGCTCATTAAATAATTTGTAAGTTCCACGTAAATTTTGTTTTAATGATGAAAGGGGAAACCTTGGCAGGATCTCTTGAGCCAAGTTTACCCAAGTTTAAGATGACTTAGAATTTAATTATAATCTATAATCTAATTATAGGTTAGATCCTATAAATGGAACATTTGGAAATTGGTTATAATTTTCCATATTTAGAATTTAATTATTGGAGGGTCATCTTATATTTAGGGATCTCCATAAATCACTCCAGAAGTGCCCCCTGTAATGGCTCCTTTACTGCTTTCATTTCACCACTTTCATTTCATACTGAGGCCCCACTGACTTGGCTGTTTGCCATTGTTTTGAATATGCCACGATTTTTGCTTCCCTGGTAGCAAATGGCCCAGCCAGCAGGGCCCCTCAGTTAATCCATGTTGGGCGAGCAGGCAAGCAGTAAAATGAAAAACATAGAAGGGGCTGATGGGAGGGAGAGGGGGTCACTTCTACAGCTATTTACAGAGATCCCTACTTATATTCTTACCCTCCCCTCCCTCCTCACCACCACCACTGCAGCAGAATGGAGGGAAAATGGTAAATAGTGGGGGGAAAAAACTTTGTCTTGGATTTGAGTAAATACTGCATGTGAGACCGATTTGAGGATTGCAGACAGTTTAGTGAGCCAGCCATTTAATGCATCTTAAAAGAATAACTGTAAGAGCGTAAAGAAGTTTGACACCTGCAGCAGTTCTGTTTTCAGTATATCTGACCATTGTTAAGCAGAGATTATAATAGCACAAAATAATACTTGATTTTTCATTATATAAATTACTGTCAAATATTTAACTATGGTGGCTTTAGTCAACATGTACATTATGGCAAACACTGAATTTGTGAAAATTAAAGAGCAACCTTTTTATTCATTTTCGTTTGGTTTGTCTTATCTTCCTAATTTGGAACTCTACATTGCTGATATTTTCCTTTTCAATGCGCTTGACCATCCTTCTCTACTTTTTCTGCCATCTTTGAACGGTCTTCACATGTGATTATTGAAATGACATTTCAAAATCATTGCCCGTTCCCTGTCACCATGTGCCACTCCCTGACTGGGGCACCTGCCAGCTAATCTTGCACCCCTCTTTCCAGCTTCTCCCTCCCTGTCCTGCAGCATGTGGTGCTGGGAGGAGCTGGGCATGGGCAGTTTGCCTACAGTGGGACAATGTGTCCCTCAACAAAGGGTACATGCAGGGGAATGCATTATGGCACAAAGTAGCAGCATGAATTTGTGCTGCTACTGTTTGTGCCACTACAAGCACATGATCCTGCTTGTCTGGACATGGCCTATTTGTGTATTTTAAAAGTGGCATGCAGGAAGTCAAGCATCATAGGTTTGATAATATAGTAGCAAAATACCTGAGGAATTTTGTGTAATATTTGTGTAGTACCTTTAAAAATCTACTAGTCGCACTTGAGACTTTTCTACCTGAATATACACTTTTTTTCACCATTTAATATAATTTGTTCATAACAGTTTTTATTTGTCATGAGGCCATATAATACTGTCTTTAATTGTATGTTAGTAGATAATGTTCTCTCATTTGAACCAGTTTGTTGAGAATGAAATTATTGGCAGTTTGATTACTGGGCACTCACCTTCTGTAAGTTTCCTAAAACATTTAGATGAAAATCTTGTATCTAAACTAACGAGTACCAGTATAAATTGAGTGTTCTTGCTACGATGTCAGGTTTTGCCACAATCATGCAACGATCTGTACTTTTGTTTGAAAACATGCTTCTTGGATTTTCTGTTCGGAGAGATAGTGTGCTATACTTGTAGCTACTAAACTGTGTATAAAATGCAGAAAAACTGAAACTGAAGCATTTAAATTGTTTTGCCTTGGAAAACTAGGGTTTAAAAAAGAAGGAAAATGAAGAGCTGGATATTCAGTTAAAAGTGTTTGATGAAAACAAAGAGGAAGACTTAATTGAACTGTCACACCGTCTCAATGACATCAGAACTGAAATGGAATATCCTTTTTAATAAAAGATCACTTTATTATATTGTTCATGAATAGTTTCGATTAATTTTATTTAAAAGTCCTAGATTCATTTTCTTCAAAAATTAATTGATTGCTATGGTTGCATTCCCTTTGGGACAGTAATTTGTGACAGGTAGATTTGTCTCCCATTAATTTGATAAGAAATGGCGAAATATAAATACAGTAAAATCCCTGTTATCTGGCACGAGTGGGGAGTGGGGGGTGCCAGGTATCTAAAAATGTCAGTTACCTGAGAAGCATGGGTTTACAGACGGACACGGGAGGGTTGCGGGGCAGGGGAGTGACTTTGAGAGATATACCTTGCATTAATAATGGTCTTTATTTTTAATTATTACTAATTATTTCTGTCAGGTAGTGGTCGCTATAATTTAGGAAAAAGTTAGACTAAGGTAAAGTGACAGCTTTATTTCCATTGATAAGGGAACAACTTTTTATGATAGTTCTGGGGGGTGTTTTTAAATAAATATTTGTTTATACTTAGGCTAAGTCAAAATATTTTCATCCTTGGTTTTGTTATCAAATCAATTAATTTGCATAAAGAGAATCACTTTTCAAATTTAACTTGATTTTTTTTTAGGCCTGGTTTTTGTTTTTAAGATGAAAATCTTTTACAATTTGCACTTCTTTGCTTTGCAATATTGATATGTTCTTACTCTTCAATAACATCTATTTTCTTCCTTTAAAGTCAGTTCCAGTCAGCACTTGTAAATCTTCATGTTATATAGCCTGTTTTGTTTTTCTCTGTGTAACTCTACCTTGAGAAATCAGGATTAGTTCAGTTGAAGATGTCTATATAAAACTTCCTTTAAATCAGAAATGGGCATTTAATAAGGAAAAACTTCTTTACTGTCCGAGCCCCTCAAGGCCTGGAACAGAATCGCCTCAGAAGTGGCGCAAGCACCTACTCTGGACACCTTCAAGAAACGTTTAGATGCTTATCTTGCTGGGATCCTTTGACCCTAGCTGGCTTCCTGCCCCTGGGGCAAGGGGCTGGACCTGATGATCTTACGAGGTCCCTTCCAGCCCTAGTGTCTATGAAATCTATGAAATAGTTTAATAGTTTCTAGGGTTGGAAGGGACCTGAACAGATCATCAAGTAGGACCCCCTGCCCTGGTCAGGAATGAGTGTTGGAATCATAATACCCCAGCCAGATATCTATCCAACCTCCTCTTGATGACCCCCAAGGTAGGGGAGAGAAGCACCTACCTTGGGAGCCCATTCCAGAGCCTGGCAGCCCTAACTGTAAAGTAATGCTTCCTGTTATCAAGCCTGAACCTACTCTCAATCAATTTGTGGCCATTATTCCCTGTTATCCCAGGTGGTGCCGGGGGGAACAGAGCCTCATGTATTTTCTGCTGGTCCCCCCTGGTGAGTTCATAGATGGCCACCAGATCCCCTCTCAGTCTGCTCTTGTGAAGGCTGAATAGATTTAGACCCTTTAGTCTATCTTTGTAGGGTGTGGCCTGCTGCCTCCCTTACCATGTGAGTGGTGAGTGGCCCTCCTCTGGACCCTCTCAAAGTTAGCCACATCCCTGTTGAAGTGTGGTATGCAGAACTGGACATAGTACTCCAACTGCGGCCTGACCAGCGCCGCATAGAGGGAAGGATCACCTCCCTGGACCTGCTTGTGCTGCACCTGTAGATGCACGACAAGGTGCGGTTAGCCTTACTGACCACTTCCTTGCATTGGCAGCTCATTTCCATCCTGGATTCAACAATGACTCCAAGATCCCTTTCAGCCACTGTGTTGTTGAGAAGGGTGTTACCCAGCCTATAGGTATGTTGCAGGTTCCTTCTCCCTAGATGCAGCACCTTGCACTTGTCTGCGTTGAATTCCATTCTATTCTCATCTGCCCACCTCTGGAACCTGTTCAGATGTAGTTGGATTCTATCCCCCCCCTTCAGTGAGCCCACTTCTCCCCACATCTTTGTGTCATCAGTGAATTTGTACAGTGTGCTTTCCACACCCACCTCCAAGTCGCTGATAAAGATGTTGAGTAGCACAGGGCCAAGGACTGAGCCCTGGGGAACTCCACTGCTCACGTCCCTCCAGGATGAAAATGATCCATCCACCACCACTCCCTGGTTGCGACTATCGAGCCAATTTGTCACCCATCTGACTGTAGGCATCAATGCCGCAGTCATCTATTTTTTTTTTTTTTTTTTATGAGAGTGGGGTGAGAAACAGTGTCAAAGAGGCCTTCTTGAAGTCTAGGTAGATGACATCCACCTCGATGCCTGCATCCAAGAACTTTGTGATCTGGTTGCAAAAGGAGACAAGGTAAGTCAGGCAGGATCTGCACGTAGTTAACCAATGTTGGTTGCCCCTGAACATTACCTCCCATGCTGGGCCCATGGAGATGTGCTCCTTGATAATTTTGTCAAAGGTCTTTGCAAGGACTGAGGAGAGACTAACTGGCCTATAGTTAGCCAGGTCCTTCTTTCTCCCCTTTTTGTAAATGGGGACCACATTGGCCCTTTTCCAGTCCTCTGGGACCTGGCCAGAGCACCATGAGTGCTCATACAGCCGTGCCAGGGGCTCTGCTTGACTTCCGCCAATTTCCTCAGTACCCTCGGATGAAGAGCATCTGGACCTGCTGATTTAAACACATCCAGCTCCTCCAAAAATTCCTTAACTAGATCGTCCTTGACCCTAGGCATGGTGTCGTGTCTCCTGAGCCTGTCCGTAATCCTAGTGGGGGAGTTGTCCTGGTCCCTGCTCAGAAATATGGAGGCAAAGAACTCGTTGAAGAGATCAGCTTTTTCCTTTGCTGCATCACCAGATTGCCAAACCTGTCCTGTAGGGACCCCACGTTACCTGATGCCTTCTTCTTACTCCCTATGTATTTGAAAAAGGACTTTTTGTTATCCTTAATTCTGGTTGCTAGCCCTAGTTCTGTCTCTGCCTTGGCCTTCCTAACTGCCTCCCTGCAATCACGAGTAATGGAGGTGTAAACTTTCTTGGTGATAGCCCCTTGCTTCCACTGATTGTATGCCACCTTTTTTGCCCTCAGGCCCTCCTGGATGCCTTTACTGAGCCAAGGGGGCTTTTTAGCACTGTTGCCCTCTTTGGTTTGTATTGGGACTGACTCCCTCTGAGCTCGGAGGATTGTCTCCTTAAGCAGCAACCAGCCGTCCTGGACTCCCATCTCACTGAGGCTCCAAGTCCCCAATGTCTCTTTTACTAATCTCCTTAGCTCATTGAAGTCAGCCCTCCTGAAGTCAAAGAATTTTGCCCTACTGCTTGCTTTCACCAAAGTAAATAGTAAATTCCAGCAGACGGTGGTCACTAGTGCCTAGGTAGTCAAGCACCCGCAGATCCCTCATCAGGTCATCACCTGTGGCAAGGACCAAGTCCAGCAAGGCATTTCCTTTGATGGGATTGTGTACCTCCTGGGTTAGGTGGAAGTCCTGTATGCAGGCTAAAAACCGATGTGAGCGTTCAGACCTGGCTGACTGATCCTCCCAGCAGATGTCTGGGTATTTTAGGTCACCCATGACAACCTCATCCCTTGTCCTTCCAACCTGTGTGAGCTGACCTGAAAATTCCAGGGCCAGCTCACCCCCTGGTGAGGCGCTCTGTAGTAGATACCCACTATCAAGTTTCTTTCCCCATGACCCCCTTGCATTCTAACCCTGAGTGCTTCAGTTTGCCCTTCTTCTGAACCCATCCTGATCATCAAGGATGTGTACTGCTCTTTAACCTAGAGCGCAACACCGCCCCCCACCTTTCCCTATTCTATCCTGTCTATACAACCTATAGCCCTCAATGTATACTGCCCAGTCGTGGGTAGAATCCCACCAAGTTTCTGTAAGCCCAACTAGGTCTGGGTTTTTGCTAGCTAGCAGGAGGGTGAGTTCCTCCTGCTTATTCCCCATACTTCTGGCATTTGTGTAGAGGCAGCTGAGACCTCCTATGGGTGTTCGTGCTGCCATCTTGTTCCCAAGCTTGCCCAGGCCCTTGTCACTTACCTGGGTTGTTCCTGCTCATGTCACCTGGCTTGACATTTGAAGTGTTCTCCTGCACCTCTGCATCCCCGTCCCCCGATGAACCTAGTTTAAAGCTCGCCGTACAAGATCAGCCAACCTGGAAGAGAAAACATGCTTACCTTTTGCAGAGAGATGTAGCCCATCTCACTCTAGCATGTTTCCTGCACAGAAGTGTGGGTCGTGGTTGAAGAATCCAAAGCCTGCCTGGTAACATCAGCTTTGAAGCCGCCGGTTGACCTCTCTGATGCAGGCCTCGTGGCGCTGTCTGCGTCTGCTCACCGGAAGAAGAGATGGGAAAACCACCTGTGCTCCCATCTCCCTAAGCTTGGCCCCCAGAGCCTTGTAGTCTCTCGTGATGCAGACTGGACTACTACTGGCCGCGTCATTAGTGCCCACATGGATGAGGACCAAGGGGTAGTGATCAGCAGGGATCTGGATTTTCCGTTTTCCACGGAAAAACAGAGAAAACCATGAATTCCCTGTTTTTATCAGAAAAAATGTGTATTTCTCTTTTTAGCAGAGAAATCCACGGATTCCCCGCTTTTGCAAAGAGCTCTTGCAGGCTGGCACAGCTCCAGCCTGCTAGAGCTGATTACAGAAAGGGCGGGAAACCCCCAGCCCTCCATGGAGGGAGAGGGGGAAGGACGGGGCCCGAGCCTCTGAGTCAGCCAAGGCTGGGCTCAGGCTCAGGCTCAGACTTGCCCTTTGCCCCTGGAGCCTAGCGGGAAGTGGGGGTTGGGGGGCAGGGCGGGGGGAGATGGTTGGGGGCTGAGAGAGTGGGGGGTGCTGCCGGCCCCAGGCGGCACACCACAGCTGGGAGCAGGGCCAGGGGGTGGGGGCAGGGGTGCCCCTCTGCAGGGGGCTTTGCGGTTAAGTGATGTGGGGCACAGTGTGGTGGTGCCCGCCATGTGCGGGCTGCACACATGTTGCCCGGCCGCCTGCCCAGGGGAGGGGAAGGAGGAGGGGGGAGGCTTGCA